ATAGTGGCACGGTTTGCAATAGCTAAATCTTAGATACAGCCCAAATGCTTATGAACTGATGAATGAATAAAGATATGAGTTTTTTATATACATTGGAGTACTACACTGCCATAAAGAAGGATAAGCTTGAGACATTTCTAGCTAAATGCACCTTGAGACTATACTCTTGAGATAAATTGGAGATACATATTTAAATACTTCATTGTTTCTCTGGTGTGAGAAACTGAAAGTGTAAATAAGTACCAAAATGTGTAATAGATATTGGGAAATGGGAAGAAAATGTTCAAATGAGAAGGGAAACAGGAAGGGGGGGAGGGAGAATGGAAAGAAGGGATAAGAAAAAAAGAATAAAAGAAAAAATGGAAACAGATCTTTTGTAAATAAGGGGGAAGAGGGGTTGAAGGGAGGGGAGGGGAATGGGGAAAAAAAAGCAAGATACATCATGTACAGGTACAGGTTCCCTATGGTGAATGTTATGACAGAAAAATGACAGGAGTATTAGATTAATTCAGCTTTCTCCCTATGGAAGAAATAAACTGAAGAGGATAGAAGCAGTACTGTCTGTGAGTATATATACTTCCAGTTATTAGTTGTCTGAGCAGAAAGTTTAAAACATAAATTAAGGGTTCAAATGTAAGGAAGGTTATTCCTGAATATCTTTTTTTTTTGTTTTGGTACCAGGGATTGAACTTGGGACCTTGAGCTTGCGAGGTAGGTGGTGGAACCACTGAGCTAAATCCCCGGCCCAAGGAAGGTTATTCCTGGTTAGAGCAAGGATGTAGGTTCAGCTGGCACTGGCAGCCACCAACGTTATTGAACTGTTAGTTATTTTCTGAAAGGCCTCTGCTGTATCCCTTGTACTCCTGGGTGTTGCATAGCCCAAAAGCATCAGTATCATGATGGGGAATGGATAGAAATCGTGGAATTACAGCCCCCCCGCCCCCCGTGAATCAATCTGCTGTTTGTTTTTTTAATACAAAGCTCAGTTGATTTGTATGCATATTAAAGTCAGAGAAGCATAAGGTTTTAGAAGAAAAAAGCATATGGTTTCAAATTTGTATTTATTTTCTAAATTATTTAAAGTATAACTGATGCCACTTCTGTAGCCCTTTATTTTTCAATCCATTAAACTATCTCTAGCTTCCTTCTATTCAGATGGTTTCATGGGAAATCATTATGCTTTTAGCAAATTGAATACTAGATATCCTTGTTCTTGGTTCCTAGGTGTAAGGCATACCTTACTAAATTTACTGCCTAAGGATGTCATTGAGTTTGCTGAAAGGTAGACTGCAGGGCATATTTGAAGAATTTAAATCCATGCTATGAAAAGATAATGACGTTTAGAAGAGAATTATTAACTACCTTGAATGATTTTAGCACAAAGCAGGGACTTGTGAATGTATTTTTAAATAACATGTACTTCTTTGTTCAGTTGCTATAGTTTTTTATTGCTTTAGTTTCGAATTTAGAATAAAATAAAATTTGTAGCTTAGATATTGTACTAATGTCTTTTTAAAATTTAAAGCAAGTTAAAGATCAGATAATATTTTGGGTTTCAAGACCTAGAGAACTGAACTACTACGGGTGTTTTGAAACTATACCTCATGTACATGAGTCTGAAAATGGATAAATGTGCTTTGGATTTAAACATTTAGCTTAAATGCATTTTATACCAGAGGATTAACGCATTTACAGAGATCCTCACCAATAAACCATTAACTTTAGTGGTTCCTTTTAAGTAAAGTCACCTGGTGAAGAGTTGGCTAATTTATCCTTTCATCGCTATAAATCACGCAGCCCTTATTTTAGGATTCAGAATTTGTGAGTGTGTGCACGCGTGCGCGTGTGTGTGTGTGCATGCATGTGCATGCGTGCGCATGACACACATGCTGTTCAGATAAACACTGTAGCCTTTCTTTATGCATTAAAGCCTGGTTTCAGGATAAATGGCCAGAAATACACAAAGTATTCCTAGTGAAAATACTGATTCTTTCAGGTTTTTCACAGTTCAAATTCTGCTGTTTTTGTTCAGATCATTGAAGTTTGAATACAGAGAAAAGACTGCAAAATGGGAAAATGAGATTTACTCATAACTTGGGTTACACAGAGAATATCACTTTTCCCTTCATGGATCTTTTATTCAAACAGCACTGTCACATTTGAATGACATTGAATACTAGAATGACAAAGTCCAAGTAAATGTACAGTGGACCCTTGATGTATGAACTCAATTCGTTGGTAAGGACTGACTGACTATAACTCAGATTGGTCAACTGAAGGCTGAGGCTCCTCTACACAGCCTTCAAAACCTCTCTCCTACATACAGGCAGATCTCAGTGTCCTTAGAGAGACATTGGCCCAGGATTTCTCAACCCCACACAGGAAAGGATGTTGTAATGTTCCTTCCAGGCTTTTTAAGGGTTAAATCTGTATCTGAGACCATCTGGAAGCACAAACAGCCAGCATTTGGGTTGTAACTCCAGACTTTGGTCATAAGTTAAAAAAACCTGTTGTAACACAAGTTGTTTGTATGTCAGGCCAGTTGTAACTAGAGGGTCCGCTGTATATCTATATGACTTTTGTAATTCTACCTTGAACATTTGCTTTTTTAAGTATTTAAATTTAATTTAAAAATTAAAAATTTTAGTTATTTGTAAAAATCTTTTGATGTGAAAGCTTTTATGGATGTTTTTAAAGTTTTCTTTTAAATGCTTGATTCAGTAGTTTTCAGTGTACTTGAATGCATTAGTCGGCTTTCCTGTTGCTGGGACAAAACACAGAACACCTGCAACTTAAATGAGAAGAGGTTTACTTTGGCTTACAGTTTTAGTGGGTGTAGTCAGTGGTCAACTGGTGCTAGGGCAGAAACTGCATGATGAAAGGGCCTGTCAGAGGAAGACTGCTCACATCATGGCAGTCATGAAGCAGAGGGAAAAAAGAGGAAGAGCTGGGGACAAGAATATACTTTTCCAGGTCATACCCAAGTGACCAACCTCTTTGGACTAGGGCCCACCTCCAAACAGCACTTTAAGCTAGGAACTCACCAATGCATTAATCCACTGATGAGTACCACCTCCATGATCCAGTCACCTTCCAAAAGCCTCTCCTCTGAACACACGAGGGTTTTGGGAGACATTTCAGATCTAAATGATAACATACAGCATTGTGTAAAGATCAGCAAAATCTAATTTTAGAATTTCCTCCAAAGAAACAACATCCCATTTAACAGCCAATCTCAATTCCCTTCTTCATTTTTTTTTTTAAACCGGGGATCGAACTCAAGACCTTGCATTTGTGAGGCAGGCGTGGTGCCACTGAGCTAAATCCCCGGCCCTCTCCTTCATCCTTCATCTTAAGACAAGCGCTAATCTATTTTCTCTATAGATATTTTCTCTATAGATTTGCCTGTTCTGGAAATTTCATGTAAATATTATATAAGTCTTTTATGAGTGAGCTTCTTTCATTTGGTATAATACTTTCCAGTTGTAACACTGTTTCTTTATTGTACCATGAGTCAATATTACATTCCTTTTTGCGCCCAAGGATATTCCTTTGTGTATGTATGTGTGTGTGTGTGTGTGTGTGTGTATATATATATATATATAAAATATGTATGCACAACAGAATATATGTATGCATGTATGTGTACAGAAATTTTGTCATCTATTCACTTGCTAGACATTTTAGTTTTTTTCCTACATTTTGCTATTGTAAAAAATGTTCCTATTAAGAATTATATATATTTGTAAGTTTTTATGTGAACATATGTTTTCATTTTTCTTTGGTAGATACTTAGGACTAGAGTTGCTGGGTCTTATGATAGTTTAGACTTATTGGGCTGGCATAACAGTATGTTTTAGACTGGGCATCTTAAAGGAAATTTATTTTCTAGAGGTTAGAAAGTCCCAAATCAAGTTTCTGTCAGAGTTTGCTTTTTTTTCCCCGGTGCTGGTGTTTGAACCTAGGGCCTGGGTGCATGATAGACAAGTGCTCTTCCGCTGAGCTACATCCCCAGCCCTTAAAAAAATTTTTTTATTGCAAAAAGTTCTGGCTATGTTGCCCCAATTATCCTCAAACTTGAGATGTTCTTACCTCAGCTTCCCTAGTAGGTAGGATTACCGATGTGCAACACTATGCCTGGCTAGGGTTTGCTTTCCTGTGAGAGCTTTCTACTTTGTAAATAGTTGCCTTCTTGCTATGTCCAACATGGGGGTCAGGGAGAGAGAATTCTGATGTCCCTTCTCCTAAGGTACTAGTTCTATTGGATAAGGGCTCCACCTTCACGATCTCATTAACTGTAAGCACCTCCTAGGGGTCCTTTCTCCAGTATTGTCACATATGATGGGGTTGGGTTTTAATGTGTGGATCTTGGGGAGACAATTCAGTATATAGCATGTAATAACTTTCTCTGTTTAATATTCTTAGAAACTCCTAACTTTTAAGCATCAACTTTTCCCCCTTCAGTTTGGAAATGTCATGTTTCAGGAATGAAAATGGGAAAGAAAAATGCTAATTCCCTAAATGTTCCTTGATCTTTAGCTCATTTGCTAGCGCTGTATGGTTTCCCTTATAATCACTCTTCTTGAACATTGTAAGGGCCTTTCTAAGAATGAAAAGAATACTATTATGAATTATGTGGAAACAGCAAACGTAAGTTGGGACTATCTTAGGCAAATTAGGATGATCTCTTTGTCAACCAATAAGAAGGAAGACTAACTGTCAGGCTTAGCTTCTTTTTCACTTTGGACATAAGGTCCCTGACAGTAGAGAGGAGGCATCAGTTATGAAGTCAGTGACAGGAATTTTTGTAGTGTCTGCATCTTCCATTCTGCCCCAATCCCTTAAAAAGTATTTTTGAAAGGAAATGCTAATGATGTCTTAATTACCTAGCCATTTAACTGTTGTGGGTTCTAAATGTAAAAAGAGTGATTGGAATTAGTCAAGGGGTGACCTATTGCGTTTTCTAATATTTACTGTATTAAACATTTTATTTCTTCCAGGGAACAACACATTATTTCACCTTCAAACCATCTTAGACTAAAAAACTTTCTACCGTGCTGCAAAAGTTTGGAGATGGACAATTTTTCCCTCCCTCTCATTTGAAAGGAATTGAAGAAGAAATAAAATGGCAGATGTTTAAGGTTAATATTCAGGATGAATGATGATAATTTAGGTGATAAGACAGAAGATGAATTACATTCCTTTTTTGTCAGTGATAAAAATGGAAACACATATACATACAACCAAGTATCACCATCTACACAAAACTCAACTAGTCATGTGAATTGGAGTTCTGGCAACCCAGATGACATGGTAATTGATTATGAAATGGACCCTGCTGTAGACAGTGATGAAAGTATTTCTTTAAGCCCTCAGTGTGTTGAAGTACTGGATCACCAAAAGTCTTCAAGTGCTTTCATTAGTCAGCAGATGTTAGACAAGCATAAAGATCCCACGTGTCAGTCTTCTTCTGCACTTGTAAATACAGAGGAGCCTGAGTATCTGCATAGCAATTGTCATTCCCTAGAAGCAGTTCAGGACCAGAATGTTGAGCCATCTCTGACTTTTGTGTGGAAGTCTGATAATGATCTGAACTGTATAGACTGTCCTGCCGCCTCAGAGTTAAACCAAACATTTAACCTGAAAGCAGACAAAGTTAACTGCACCTTTATAACACACCGTGTCTTTGAAAACAGTCAGTCTTTGCATACCCCTGGAGATCTGCAACCAGCCAGTGTGAGAAGTGGAAATACACCTCCTTCATCCTGTTCCACTTGGACATTATCCAATTCTGATAAGATGCATGTAAGAGAAATTAGTTATAATAGAGAAAGCTTTGAAAACCCTCAAGGCACAGGGTCAGAGGCCCACAACACAAGTTACACAGCATTTTCTGATCATGTGATGCATACTGATATTGTTCCAGATATTAGAAATCAGTGTCAATATTCTTCAGGAAAGGTTGCCAGTGACTACACAGATGGGTCACAGCAAAGACTAGTTGGAGAAAAAGAGATACAAGCTCTAACACCAGTTTCTGATGGCATGGAAGTCCCCAGTGGGTCTGTATTACAAGAGCTCTATTGTTTATCTAAAGATGAACTGAATAGTGAAACACATTCACAAAGCTCATATGGTCCAAAGGAAATGGGCCAAAATCTAAGAGAGACAGTGTCTGATTGTCTTATTGATGATGAATGCCCTTTACTAGTTCCAGCTTTTGAAAAAAGTAAAGCTGAAGTGCTGGACTCAGAGCATAATATCACTGTGACTGAAGATCCAAAAATTGCTTCTAATGAGAAGGATTTGGCAACCCAAAATAATACTGTAGAATTGACACAAAGTTGTTCACCAGGACAAAAGACAGTTTCATTATTTGAAATGTCTTGGGATGCAAATGAAATGATTATTAGCACAAATAACACAGCTTGCATGTCAACACCAATCGTAGAACCCACAGATGTGAGCTTTACTTTTTCGCCAATCCAGTCAACAGAGAGCTGTAATAAAGTGGAGAAGAGTAATCGAGAGCCTAAAAATTTACCCAACTTGAAGGGGACACCTATGAGCTTATCTAAGGCTAATCTGGGAAAATCAGCAACTAAAACAAATACCCCTATAGGCACCAAGTTTAGAAAAACTGAAATTATAAGTTACCCAAGACCAAACTTCAAGAATGTCAAAGCGAAAGTTGTGTCTAGACCAGTGTTGCAGCCCAAAGACCCTGCTTTATCTAAGGTCACACCCAAGCCTCAGTTGACCAGCTCAGCCACCTCACCCTCAGCAGTGTCTTCCTCAAGACAGTTGACAGCTTTGAGCAAAACACCAAGATCTGACTTGAATGCAGACACAAAAGCAGAAATCCTAATTAACAAGACTCATAAGCAGCAGTTTAACAAGCTCATTACTAGCCAGGCAGTGCATGTTACAACTCATTCTAAAAATGCTTCACACAGGGTTCCAAGAACAACATCTGCCATGAAATCAAATCAGGAAGATGTTGACAAAACAAGTTCTCGTTCAGTATGTGAGACTGGGTCTGTAGCTGCATTTTTTCAGAAGATCAAAGGCATACTCCCTGTTAAAATGGAAAGTACAGAATGTTTGGGAATGACGTATGCTTCTAACATTAATAGGACCCACCCTGAAAAGAAGGGTGAAAAAGAAAATGAAATACCTATGGAAAAACAAGAGCTGAAAAAGGAAGTTATGAATGAAACCTTTGAATATGGTTCTCTGTTTTTGGTAAGTGAAACTTTTTCCATGCTTCACGGAGTGGTAGAGAAAACTGAGAGGGATTACATTTATTTATTAATAGCTAATACTATCCACTAATAGCCAAGAATATTACAGAATGACATGAGCGAATTTGCTTTCAGGTGTTAATTCTTTGTCTTGCCAGTTAGTACATATTAGAATCTTAATAGGCCTCAATGTAACAAATCTGCGTATTGAAAAAAATCCTCAGTTCAGTATTTTGTTTTGAGAGTCAATTTTCTTTTTAGTAATATTTTAAAAGAACAAATTAATGTTTTAGGATGATTAGTTATTTGAAGTTAATAACCTGATATAATCAGGTTATATTTTATTTTTCTGAAAAAAGGAGTTTATAAACTTTCAAATCACATTTAATAAGTGGCTAGAGTGCTGGTAAACATATCAATTTAAAAATAACTCTTGGTTTCTTGCTGTTGAGGAGGTAGCTCTGGGAAATGGAGCTCCCTCCTGTGAGCAAGGATATTCTTAATTTTACCCCTGAATAGCTCATGGGACTTTGGGCAAGTAATTTATCCAGACCCAAAGGTGAACAGATTGGACTATTGAATGTCTAAGGTCTCTTGCAGCCCTAATATATTCATTTTGTACCCAAATTGCATTTTATTTGTGTTTAGTGTAAAAGCATCGTGTTTCCTATAGCACCTGTCAAATACTCAGGACTAGAAGAATTCATTTAAAGAATAAAACAATATTTTTTAAACATGCATATATTTTTGGCAATAGCATTGGAGAAACTAGTTTTCTGAGTTTTAAAAAATGTTAAGCAGGTCTGTGCTCTTGTCCATAGTTCTATTTTTGGCAGCAGGGACTGGTATGTATTTTCAGCCCCATGCAGGCTGTCCTTGGGTGCCTGTCCTCGGCCAGAAATGGAGCTGGGTGCAGGGGAGAGAAGATGTGACACAGACATCCTGCTTCTTGGAGGGCTTGGGTCTAAGAAGAAAGGAGATTGTGTGTTGTGGGAGGGGAGAGAGAGTGATGGCAATGGGAAGAATGATTATGGAAGACCTCCTGGGGCAGGGTCATTTAGTCACTCCCCAGCACTTACAGGGCATATATTCTGGGAAGAGAAAATACATACATACGTACATGAGTGGATGAAGAACTATGAAAAGATAATCTGTATGGTGATTTAGAGGCCTCAGAATAGTGTATATTACAGGAGCTAGGGCTGCAGAACCATGAGCAGTAAGGAATAAGCTGAGGAAGATGGCAGCGGGGGGGGCACATCCAAAAGAGCTTGATGTGCTTTACAAAGAGTGATTTTATCTGGATGGCAGAGGAAAGCTGTATGACCCTATTTGAATTTTAGAGAGATTGCCATGGCAGGGGAGTAGAAATTTAATTGAAAGCTCGTAAGACTGGAGACATGTTGAAGATGTGGGTTCAGTAATCCTGCTGAGAAATGATGCTGACATATACTAAGTCAGATGGAAAAGAAAGGCATAAGAGTTAAGAGAGGAAGCAGCTAGAAATAGCTTTCATTGTTTAAGGTACATTCCTGGGTATATTGGGGTGAATATGAGAAGAAGAAAACTCTGAGATGGATAGGTAAAATAAGTTTAAAAACTACTTCGTATTCTCCTGTACAATGTGGTATGATAAAAAATCAACCTCATACTGTTTGGGGGCGGGTATTAGGGGTTGAACTCACAGCTTTTACACTAGTTACATCCCCAGTCCTTTCTTTATTTTTATTTTGGAACAGAGCCTTGCTAAGTCACCAGGTTTGAACTTGCAGTCCTCCTGTCTGAGCCTCTGAGAGTGCTGGGATTATACTTGTGTGCCACCACATCTGGCATCAAGAGCATATGATTATTGTGAGATTAAATGAGTCGATAGATATATATAGAATTTGGAATGGTATTTGCATGATGGAAAGGCTCTATATTAGTCAGCACCAACAATAACAGCATTGTTATTGTCATTGTTAAGTGGAGGTACCTGAAGTGGGGAGGTGCAGACAGAAGTTACATAAGAGGGAAGCGAGAGTGTTGGCTTGGACATGTGGATTTTGGATGCAGCAGTGTATGGGCAGCAGTTCAAACAGCGGATAAGGTCACGTAGGAAGAGTACAGGGTGAGGAAAGAACAAAACCAAGTCTGGGCCCAGGTTAAACAAGAACTTAAAAGACGTAGAAGAACAGGATGCAGAGAAGCAATACTACAGCTAGGAGGAAAGCCAGGAAAGAACTCTGTAGGGCACTGGGTGCCAGAGGATCCCCAGCTGAACACTGAGCCTTGAATCAACTTGTAACACGGACAGCCTTGAGAAAAATGTCACTCATGTGTGCAAAGGTAGACTATAATGGGTTGAAGAATCAGCTGTGAAGAGTTTTAATTGCTTCTAATAAAAAATGAAAATTAAATATTTATCTGACACACCCATTTTGAAATTGTTTCTTTCATATAGCTAACACCACAAGGAAAATGGTAGGGGGAAAGTATTATCTGGACTGAAAATATTAACTGTTTTCTTCATAGGATTCTGCTTCAAAAACTACCACCACCTCAGGTAGGAGTATATCCAAGCCTGACTCTTGCAGTTTGCGGAAAACGTGTCCAAAAGCCAAAGTGGGGCCTATTGCTTCCTGTCTGAGGCGGAACAGTGACACTAGAAAACTCAGTTCTGATCGAGCCTTATCTCCTCAGAGAATCAGGCGTTTGTCCAGCTCTGGTAAGAATGAGTTCAACTGTGCTCATGGTAGTTTATGAAATATTAGGCTTGTTAGACAGCAGAAAGACAGTTTTGATTATAGGACTAATACACTGTGTCCCCAGAGCATTTAGCATTTTGTGGTCCAGCATCCTGTGCAGGGAAGATAGAAAAAGAAGACAGCAGAGCCCTTACCTTTGAGCAATGCAAAGGCTAATTGGAAAGAGATTTATGTGCACAAATTCATAAACTATTCAAGCAGGTTGCACCATAATTGGTAGCTGTTGTAAACATGAATCATTTCATTAATTTTTTTTTACAGTTGCTTAAGGGCTTAACAGTATTCCACTGTTAGACTTTTATATAGGAGATTCATAATCTGCCTTCAACACATGTGAAAAGATTAATATTTTTTTTGAATTTTGCTGAAAGATGTATTATACATTTACAGGGATATGAGAGTTACTAAAAAGTTACATTTTTTCTAATATGAACTTTTTAGTTGGCTTGGATTTTAAAGTTGTGTTAGGCTGGTGAAATCTGAGAGCTTCGCTAGGAGCTATTAAGTGTCTTGCTAAATTTGGCAGATGTACAGATTTCTTTGTTATGAATCATAACAGGAAATGGAAAATTCATCCCGGTTTCATGAGACTTAAAAAAAAAGTCTCCTAGCCATTCCAGCCAACTGAGAACACTTTGTAGGTAACACGCCTTAGTTCTGCAGGTATTGCCTTGGGCAAATTAAAGACATGTCAGATAGATTTAGAAGTAAGTTCCCTTATAAAAGTAGTGACTACTATTGAATGCCCTAAAAAAAAGTGCCCCTAAAGTTACTTGGCTACACATGTGGGAATGTTTTACAAAAGTTAATAGAACCTACCAAGTCCCACAGGATCTTTTTACTCATACAATTTAGTATTTCTAGCTTTTATTTTTCAGTCTTATCATGCAGCCACTACTGTGAGAACCTAATGTTTCTTTAGAGTCAGGGCTTGTGGTTTGAGGGAGCAGACCCAGGATGAGATATGAGTGAAGAGGGGAGATTTGCAGTACCTTTCTATTTCTTTTTTTTTTTTAAGAGTAGGAAAAATTTATTGAGAGAAAGAAAGCTTCTGTCTAAGAGACACAGAAGGGGGACCAGAAAATGAGTTGCCTGCCCACCCCACTTTTCAAAGATGTTTTATACAGCAAAGCCATGTGGTGAGGTGGGTACAAGGTGGGACAAAACTATAAGACCCAATGGAAATTTACAAGGTGGGCATGAGGTGGGGCAAAACCATGACCAAACAATAAGATTACAAGTACAGTCACCCAGGTAATTTTGATGAAATGGGAATCATATGGGGGAGCAAGTCACGTAGCAAGCATACAAGGAATTTCCCATTTAGAATATCAATCGCTGTTATCTCTATCTCCAGGGGAAGTAGTACTTCTTTTCCTTTTTATAATGGTAACCAGTGAATGTGCCTCAATTTTTCTCCGTGTTGGCTCCTGGAGGGCTGGCGCCTTAAGGGAAGCCCTGTCTACTTGCCAACAAGATATCTAATTGACCTACCTATCTATAATATTCCCCCCTCTGAAGAAGTACTCCTAACTGCTGTAAGGGGGCAAAGGGCGAAGACGGTTCTGGCTACTTCCAGCTGAAGAGGGTCGTAATTGTGATCAGCAGTTAGAGTTACTCTACAGAGAGTCTATCTAAAGGCCCTCGATAGGTGCCAGGCATTGTTATCTTGGTAGCTGTATAGCTTTGAGTCTGGAGGAGACAAAGCCAAAGAAACAGTTAATACATGGGCCAAATTATAAGGTCAGCAGGATTGCTATGAATATAACCAACAAGTGTCTCCACCAGGAGGAACTAGTAATAGCCTCCCACAAAGAGGATAAGGAGAAGGTCCAGGGGACTTTAGAATGCAACATAGAAGTCATAATGTATAGTTTAGCAGATATGAGCTGTTTACAAGGTCGATCTGGTGGATCGGTAAAAGAAGTCTAGCACATTTGTCATTGGTTCCATTTGTATGACTGCTTGGAGTTTGGCAGGCTCTAGGCAAGAATAAACAAAACTTTTAAGAAATTAGAGCATGTATAATCTAAGCGTGAGCACACTAGAATGGAAGGGCAGGTTGGGAAGAAAGTCACACTTAGAAATTGAAATAGTGATTGTAACCTGCTGGCTCTTAGATTCTTTTATTGAAAAGAGGTTATCTATAAGTCTGATACTTTGTCATATGTCTCTCTAGTTTCAGCTGTAAGAAGATGAGACAATTTGAAGAACAAATTTCAGTAAGAAATATTAAACTCTAGATAAGCTTTTATAGATTTTACCATAGTTTTTTTCTAATGATCTATAATCACGGTCAGCTACTGGTAGAGCTGGAAGCTGCCAGAAGGGGTCAGTGACTGGAGCCCCTTTTTACATCTAGCTTTATTACTGTGGCATTATTTTATACCTCTTTTGGTTATTCTTTTCTGCTAGGTGTTTAAGACCAAGTTAAAGTGACACCTGTGTCGATTAATATGAACCTCTTGCTGTCTATGAAGGTCAGTTAATTCTTCTCAGGCATTACTTTGGAACCATGCATAGAGTCTCTCAGCTCCTCTGTCAGTGTCAGCCGTCAGGATGGGTCACAGTTTGCTTGACCATGTTGCTTTCAGTGAAAGCATGGGAGAATTTTCCCTCTTTGTGACCCTCCCTTGGCACATGGTACATTTGTCCTCTGATGCCCAGCAATCTCCCTCCTCAGGACGTTGAGTGACTTACCAAAGATGTAGGACCCTGTAGAGAAGGTTCCCTCATGTCCTGGAACTTTGATGACCTTGAGGGGCCAGGGCCAAAATATTGGCTGTCCTCATAGCCCAGTTACCTTTTAGTTTTGGTCTCCAAACTTTAGTTGTTGAACACCCAGAAGATCAGTGACATAAGTATTTCAGTAGGAGCAGTGAGTTTATTATAATAGTTAAGACATCAAGCACTTTTGAAGTATAAAGCACAGTTAGAGGGCTGTTATTTTTTACAACCATGGCTGTTTTAGTAGTTGAATTTGTAGAATGTTAACAGACAATAGTTATATATTATAGAAAAACTTAAGATCAAGAGTCACACAGTATTTTACCATGACAATCATGATGACATTGTCTTTGTAACACACGTCCATCTTAGTATGGAATAGTCTTTCAGTCAAACACCTTCATCTGATCACAAGAAATTAAATGACATAAAGAAAACCCTTATTTGTTATCCTTTAGTAGGATGCCATCTAAAGAGAACATACATATTGGCCTATAAATGCACCTTAGGAGTTCATAATGTCTAGCCTCTAATTTTAGTGTGTGATGTTGTTTCAACTGTTTGGTGACTGAGCATCCCTAAGTGTGATGGCACATATAACATACATCACATAAGTTTTTAAGATAACTGTTATTTTCCTGGTTTTCTCATGCTGGCTTGACATGTACCTCTTATCACAAGTAGCTAGAGTGTGAGAGAAAGGCAGATACCTGAGTCAAAGATCATTACCATAAACAATATCTTAGAAGATCTGTACACCCAGACGGCATGAATGATATTTAGTACACCATGAAATAACAATGAATATCAGTTACATGAAACCCCTTGTCATTTAATTTTGTTTTGTATCAAGAACATTTTAAATAAAACCTTACTGTTTTTTCACGGAAAACTTAGCCCATGACCAGTGTATACTTATCACAATGATGTGTTTAGCGATGTATTTCCCACAGGCTATGGAAATTATTGGGATCCTCTTTGTTAACAAAGGCTGAAATAAATTATTTTCCAGGCAGCCGCTCCTTTCTTTACCAAGGGGGGTCCTGCCTATAGGTTTCCTAGGCCCAAGAGTCTTTAATTACCTTAACAAATTTTTAGATGACCTGTGAGAGCCAGATCTTAACACATTATTTTGACCAATGAAGGATTCCCAAGTTATACATAGGTAACAATATGTACTGTGTTTGTAAAACAAGTTGACATTATTTGGATCACCTGGCAACCTGAGGGAACCATGTCTTTAATTACATTTATATATAAAACAACTTGAGTTGCAGGCAAACATCTTAAAAGATCCAAAATGCCAAAAGAAAAAAGCTCAAACATAACAGCTGTATGTGTTGAAACAAATTGAACAGACAGACACACACATAAGACAATTTGTTTATAAACCAGAGTGCACTCAGATGTATTTGGCCAAGTTGAATTATAGTAACTTTTTTAATTTTTAGGTTTACAACTATAAAAAGACTAGTCAGAACTTTGTAGATCAATTAACAGAGATCTTTTGTAATAAGAATCAAAAGGAATAAAAATCTTCTACACCTGTGAAAGCAAAGACCATCTTAAGATGGGCCCTAAGCTGATGATTTATCTGACTGGAATACCGCGCTACACAGGCTTCTCATGGTTGCTTTTATAGCCACAGTTGTTTAATAGCCACATGTAATTGTTCCCTCTAAAGGGACAAACTGTTAAAGGTAATTTTAACTATCTCCAGTGGGGGTCCACTCAGGCCAGGTTTGCATGTGGAAGAGACTAGGTGACACTCTTTGGAGCTAAGTATGAATTCCAAATGGTGAGGGTAGAAGGCCTGCCAAGGCTCCAACCTGCTGTACTGCAGATGTCTACCTATGACAGTTTTTTTCATTTTGAAAAGAAAGGGAAAGAAGGCATCCCCATCTATCTCTCTTGTTCTGTGCCCAATCTAAGGTGTCCCTTAGACTTTATCTTGTCCAGTGCCAGTGGAGGCTGACTAGAGGTGCAAGGAAGTGGCCAGAGCCAGGTTAGCTGTTCTTACCATTCTCTAATTTTGCCTGAGGGCTGAAAGACAGATAAATCTGAACTAAAACTTTTATATTTATCTTTTGAGAGTTTCAGAATTAAACCTAGACCAGTTTTCTAAATGGGCCAGAGATAAATGAAGGTCAGCTTTACTCTGGAAGGATTCCAGGGAGGGGAAACTCACCATTCTGGAAGCTTTGTCTTGAAATCCAGCAGCCACAGAAAAGGG